TTCTTGTAATTGCAGTTGCCTCATGCATGTGATGAGAGAGGTGTTCATGTTGTTACTTGTAGAGGAAGAAACATATAATTAGTTTGACCATGTATTTTAAGTTCCCTCCACATAACGTTGCCAAAGTCCAAAGCTCAAGAACAATTGGATTGGGAATGTTTTTTTTATGCTTTACTCCGTATCAGGCACGGTTCCCTGTGATTAGATTTTGGTTGGCAAGCGCCAGATCTCATGTTAGTTCTTTAGTAGTGGTTGTGTTTAGGCTTGTTTGGCGATCGGCAGATAACGAGATTGTATCAGCGGATAGCGGATTATATTAGCTGATTTGACCAACGGATTGCATTAGCGATTTTTAAATAAGTGTTTGGTAAATAGTTGAAAGCTTATAGCTGTTTGACATTGCAAAATGACCAATAAGAACATTTTATTATTTAGGGTGTATTCTTTTAATAATAATATATTAAAACATTTAATATTCTTTAGTTGGTAATTTATAAATATATATTTTTTTTTTAAATTTACTAACACTTGACGAAGAAGTTATGAATTTTACATTTTTCTAGATAAATTAATCATATGGACGACATATTATTATTATATATTAGCACCATAAATCAATGTAGATTGTAAAATAAATAAGACAAATTAAAAAGTTTCAAGTAAATAATTTTTGTCCTCTATTCCTAAAACGCTGCTCTAATGAACTTTTTCTAAATTAGAGTTTCGGGCCCAAAAAACTTATCAACTCAGTTATTTACCAAACAAGCTCAATAGTTGATTTGACGGGTCAAACCTCTCAATTAAGTTTAATCAGCTAATTTATCTTCAATCCGCTATCTACCAAACGGGGCTTATATATAGCTTCTTCAACATTGGTTTTGAAGTTAATGCTATATTACTACTTCTGAATGAGCAATGTGATGTAGCACAACTCGTGGAAGAAGATAAAAGAGATTTTTACCTCAAATACGATATTCTTATTCAAACTGTAGAAAACAATGTAAAAGGGGTTTTTAAATAAGACTCACAAAAAGCCCTAACTTACTTGCAAGACAATGATTTTAATAAAGTAACAAATACATAAGTTTCTTAACAAATTAAGAACAAAATTAAAGATTTATATTCTCCATTATTGTGTCACTTGGTGAATTGCTGAATTGAATAATTAATTTTATAAAACTTTAAATTATATTTATATTATTTTCTTATAATCATACATAAAATAATAAAAATAATTATTTATACGTCAATTTTATACCCCCAAAGTCTTGATAATATTGTATTTTGTTATAAATATTTAACACATAATTATATATATAAAATTTGATTTTAAAAATGAAATATATATATATATATATTTAATGAAGTCATTAAACTGGCAAGAAAATGAAGTAATTCTTACTAAAAATAAACATAGGCAGCAAGAAATCATAACCAAGATCCCCCTCATCTCATTCCAGCAAACACAACTCCCATCTTCCTCAAAACATTGCCAAATACACACTTCAAACACAGTACTTCACAAGGAATTCAACAAACAATCAGACAAAACTCAAATCTAAGTTCTCGTCCTCTCCTCCGAGAATCTGGGAAGCTGAACCAACGAATTGACCCTCGTAACCCCTTCCAAACCTGACCAGCTCTGTTCTTCATGCTTCTCCTCAGACGATGACCTGACAGTGTAGTTTCTTGCGAGGCAAGGCTCCGAGTGCTGGCCATCGTCAGCAGACGAGAATCCTCCGGCAAAAGACTGCTCCTCAAACTCCGACTCTGCAGCAGTGTCTGTTGTTTTCCCGTCGAGAAAGAAGCAGACGACTGCACAGTCATCCATTTTCGAGGTCGGGTATTTTGACCTCCACTCGCGGGCTGCTGACTCAACCACCACTCTCGCGGCAGATGAACGAGTTGGAGCCGAACAAACTATTTCCACCACTTCCTCGTTGCTCAACACGTCCCATACCTGCAATCGAGTGCTGACGTGTTAATTCATTTCTATTTTCATTTCTTCTATCTGTATAGTTAATTGTCATTTATCTTCTTTTTTTTTGTTAATCACACTAATTTTGTCTGTAATATTTCTGAATATTTTTTAAAATATTAGTAATGACTAGAAATAGTAAAACAACAAATAGGAACGTAACTTTGCAGGTCTTTAACTGATATGTCATAGCTTTGCAGGTTGTTAAGGGATATATTTTGTGTCTCGGGCCGTATATTGATAGTATTTATCTCAGGTCCCCAAAATTGTAATTAATCATTCTCTGGGTCTGGGGCACTAAATTGGTACAAGCTATCTACACCATTGTTCTTATTTCCTAACAAGAAGTTAACTCATGCAATGCAATGTAAAAGTGTGCTGCATAGTGAACCACAATTATCGTGAGTTGGTACGTAGTTTATGCAGAATGCCTCAGACGCTGAAGCAGATTGACCAAGAAAGTAACATGCAAAAGTAGGCAATGTACAGAACATATATGTTTGTGGCGCAGCACCGTAGATATATCATTTAAGAATGTATGGGAAGGAAAAAGGTATTAAGTTATATTGTGGGTCATTCTATAGTGGATGGGGTGGCTATGCATACCCCCAGTTTATAATGTTCACTCAAGGGAATTGTAGTTCAGCCGCAATTTCTGTGAAAAAACTGAGTTTACACAATTATATGTGGGTGTGTTCTAACTGAAACCTTGTGTTCTCCTAGTTTCGCTGACTTATCTCTTTGACATGGTGAATGCATTTTGCTAGAGCATTTTGATGTTTAATTAGGCCAGAGATGATGTGCTCACTTATACATACTTCAAGCTTTCTTCGAAATTACTCAAGGTTATATATCCTCTGTACCTAAGCAGTGGCAACCATAAGTTGGAAACTCAAGACAGGCAGCCCTAATTATTTAATAGATGGATTTTATACAGAAGAAGCAGAAGAAGCAGAAGCAGAAGAAGATCACTAGTAAAATCGATTTCACAGATTATATTATATTATGAAAATTCTTTCGTATTCCTCTGCAAGTACTACTGTGTACATCAAACTACAAAACATTGATCTGATTCTTCCATTTTTCCTCGGAACAACCTTAGCTTTGAGTTTCTTACAATTGGAATTTATAATACGATTCTCATTTTCATCTGAAAGGGAGAAGTGTTACAACAGCCAGAAATCCAAAGTCCTAAAAATATCTGCAGTTGCCTACATTTTTGCCTAGTCCATACTACATAAGAACATAGCTACAATTATATCAAATAGGGAACATTAAGAGCAAATGGTTTCTAGAAGGATATGTGATACAATTTGTTATGAAGAAAAAGACATAACAAGTCTTTTGATACTGCTGTGGTCCAGTGATAGGAAGTTCTTAATTCTCACGAATTTTTAAAGGTGTCAGAGGAAACACATGACTTTCAGAGGCAGATGACTAATTAATCCAAAGCCCATACACTCTGTTTAGATATTTATAGATGAAAACTCAAATTCTTATAAACATCATTCTGCATTCAGAGACAGATCCCATAACATTCACAGAATTACTAAAATAGGAAAATCGAAGAATATATATTTGACAAAAACTCAACCAAATGAAGCCACAGAGGTCAGGTAAACGTAAAGACATACCCCATCTGATGCAAGAACAATGAATTTATCTTGGTCAGTTAGTGTACGGTGAGAAAATTCAGGAATGGAGATGACTCCATATTCCTTCAAACAGAAATCGCCAAAAGCACGCGCCATTGCTAAACCAGGAGCATCATCAAATGGCAGCCAAACCCTCGGCACTTCAGGCTCGTCTTGTAAAGCAAATACTCGACCCTTGCACCTCTTAATCCTTTCTGCCTCCTCTGTTCAGATATTTGGAAATATTAAGTATCACTAGTTTACTTGTTTACTCTTTAGTAATTTTAAAGAACGAAAGGAAAAGGCAGAATAAAGTACTAACTAGGTAAGTCAGGCTTTAGATCAACTGTCAATTGGGTAGCCACCATTGAATCATTGCCATCTTTAGATCCCAATATTGCTCGAGAATCACCAATGTTACCCATGAAAAGATTCGAGCCCTTCAATCAATAAAAAGATATAAAAAAATAAAATAAAATTAACACATAAATGAAAATCATATTAAACATCAAGCTAATATGGAAAAGACTTACTATAAGTACCTGTTTTACAACAGTCACAGCCGTGCTACCACTGCAAAAGCAATCCAAATTTGGATGCGACTTCAATTCTTTGTCCATCGCCTTATAAGATTTAAGAAAAGCCTCTCTCCACATGGACTCCACTTTCTCCTCCTCAGAGGTATCCTTTGTGGGGTCCACCACGTCCAATTTTACGTCTCCATTACAGCAATTCACACCAGAACCATTTCTCTTTGACTCAGATGAGTTCAGAAAAGAGGACAGTTTTAGCGGAAGTGTATCCCTCACTTTACGAGCCACGAGATGTCCATGCGGGCCGTGGCCATCGAAAACGCCACAAAAGCTAACGCCATCTTCCATAAAATCCTGCACAAAAGAACAAAAAAATAAAATAAAACTATCAAATATAATTTGTCGAGCATAGAAAAAGCTTGAAAAGGATTTGAGGATATAATTCAAGACATACTTCCCACACAATCATTGCATCTTGGTTTATGCCTTTACGGCCCTGCTGAGTATATATGCATGAACTGCTTGTTCTTCCATTGGTGAATATCCGATTAGAAGCCGAAGCAAGACGTTGCAGATTGGTGACGTTGTCGGAAAATGTTCTTCTACTCCTTTTGCAACCAAACATATCAATCCACAAGCATGGGGGAGTTATATTATCCCCATTGCTCTTGCTACTACAAGTACTTCGACTGCTAATTGATACACAACCCCCCATCTTCTCAGAGCCAAAAGTAGAACATCTAACTTACAAAATAAAAACTAGCTTCTTCCTGCCGTAGCCAAAAAGTAAGAGAATGCTGAGATTGTACTGTGCATATAACTGAGCAAAACACTGGGAAATTCACAAGATTCAAAATCGGCAGTCCATGGCGCACAGTATAGGAGGTAGGTTCAAATTTTCCCTCTTAGTCAAACATGTGAAGCGATAACTGAGACAGCTAAAAAGAGTAGAGAAGAGATTAATTAATTGCATTTGTTTATTTAGCATTTAATATAAAGTATTCTCCCAGGTTCTTGAAATAAAACTACAAAATCACACAAAACTCAGTTTTCAGAGATTTAGCATGTGAAGGGGGAATATTAATATTAAAATTACAACAAGGCGGTCTTCACTGCTGGTCATTATTTGGGAATCTCTATATTTAATCTAAGTTGAGAGATTTCATGCTACCATACCATAATTTTGGATTATAGAATTGAAGCCAACAAAAGACAGAGGAAGGATATTACCATAAAATCACAAGCATAAAACAAGATAAACCTTTAACCATTTCAAATCTAAAAATAAAATTAATACCCGCATTTTGCAGTGCATTTATGCCATGAACAAATCCCATCCACCAAATTTTCAAAAAAAAAAAACTTCAAAAAAGGTTTAGGTTGAACTAGAGAACTGCTATAAAGAAGGTCCTAGTAGTACCAAAGATCTCAAGAGAGAGGGAGAGAGATTAAAAATGTACAGAAAGTAGATCTATTTTCTGTCCCGGAGAGTGTTGGATCCCAGTGTTTAACAGAAAAGATAAACAGTATAGCTAATTTACTGGAATTAACTAAATCTTTTGTTTTTTTTCCTTGAAAGTAAAAAAGGAAAGTACGCAATGAAGAGAGATGGGTGCTCATCGGCACGGTAGGCGAATAAAGTAGAGAGTGGAGTTCGAAAAATAGGTAAACTCGTCAATACATAATCAAAATCAATTGAAACCTCAAGAGCCACAACACCAGGAGATCAAGCAATAGTATATTGTGAAAAAGTCTCAAACAACCGAAATCTTGCGTTACTGCAGCTACAAAACCGAAAACACCTCAAAAAGTAGGAAATCTTCAAAACCCCAATAGAAGATTTTTTTTCTTTAAAGAGAGAGAGACTCACGCCCTTACACAAATAGTGAAGAAGTCTATTACGTTCGAGTACCTCGCCATAGGAAAAAAATCAATTTTTAGAACAATTTGATTTGAAATAAGGAAAATGGATGAGCACTGGAGAGAGAACGCGTGAAGCTTTTACCTTTTTCGTGGCCCGCAGATTCAAGTTTTGATTTCTGCATTTACACACACCCATTTGAAAATGTGACACCCAACTGGAAATTTATCAGAAAGTGCATTTGGGGAGGGAAGGGTAAAGCAGTGGAGCAGAAAACAGTGTTGTTGGGATGGTGCATTGATTGCAAATGCATGAAAAGTGTGTGTAAGAGAGAGAAAGTGAGTTGGCAAGTGAGAGAGAGAAGGAGGTGGGAGCAAAGGGTGTGAATATTTAAGGGATAATTGGGTGATTGTTTGAAGGAGCAAAGTGCCCTGCTGAAATGATGATGGTGGACATATGGACATATCTTCTTTTCTAAACCTTTTCAAATTTTATATTATTAATGTGAAAAGGCAATTTACCATCCATCATCCATATTCCATCCCTCTTACTTTCTCTTTTTTGCCCTTCTAAAATATAGCACCTAGCTTTATGAGCTAGTTAGAGTAGTTATTCGATTGGGGTCGATTCAAGAGAGCTCGACCTGTTTTCAGCATATGAACTTGTCAAGGAGCTCGTCTAGGTAGCTCGAGATACAAGATGCACCAGTTGGATTGCTTGTAGGTCGAAGGACCTTAAGAGCTAGGATATCCAAATAGACCTCAAGACTTGTAGGTCGAGGTTGCGACCTGGTTGTAGCTTCCGGCAAGTACGTAGGGAGGTCGTGGTTACAACCTCAAGACTTAAGAGTCGTGTCGTAAGAGGGGAAAGGTCAATCACGGATGAAAAATATATCTTGCTAATGAGTCTCTGATCTTAGAGACATACAGAGCCGGCTCTTGGGCCAGGCAGGCGAGGTTCCTGCCTAGGACCTCAATTTTCTAGGGGCCTCATATATACATGTATATATATATACATATATATATATATATATATATATATATATATATTACTTTGTGTTGGGTTTTTTTCTTTTCTTTTTATATTATGTTGGCTTGGCCTAATCCATTTACATACATTTAAACGGGTACTTTTTTTTCTTCTGCCCCAGTCGAGTTTCATTTCATAAAATCAAACGATTAAAGATTAAACTCCAATTCTCACGTTTGCTCGACCTTCTGGCCTCCGCCCTCACGGCCTCACCAGTCACCACAACCGCGAGTCAGCCGCCTCATGCATCGCTGCTGTCGTCGCCGTCGAGCTTCTCAATCAACATATCGGTAGGAATTGCTTCTTCTATTTTCTAAATTTTTTCCCTATCTATTGAACTTAATTTTGATTATGCATTACGAGTTTCGAAGCAGTTTTGATATTAATATGTTCCATCTGGTTGAAGAATCAAGAATGAAGATCAATTAGGATTTAAGATATATTGATTTTCTTCGTTAATTTTTTTGAGTAGTTGAAGAATAAAGATCAATTAGGGTTTAGAATATATTAATTTCCTTTGTTGCGGACTTATTGGTGGATTATTTGGGGAGTGAGAGTTAATAGTTGCAAATTGGCAATTGCAATATCATTTTGCAAAAGTATTCACATATGTTAGTGGAGCAGCAGGACCAAGGGCCTGATGCTTGAATAGTTGAATTGCCAGGAAGAAGTTATCATCAATTTTTAATATTTATTTGTCTTCTTAGATTGATAGATATATGTAGTTCCTTTTTCTTTTTATTAAACCAAAAGATGATCAAATTTATAAGATTATAAACAAATTTATTTGTCCAATCTGTATTTTCTTTTTATTAATATTTGTATGTAATTTTTCTTAATTACTATTGTAAATAAATTTATTTATATATTATTCTATCATTTTATCTATGATCAGATTTGGTAGACGAGTTATGAGGGCAAACGCAAATTCGAATCGGGAAGTTCGAAAAGAAAAAAGAAAGAAAAGCAAGAGATATTAACAAAATCTCTCGTCGGATCTATGGATAGGTACGTAAAACCTACAGCTCCAACTCCAGCTCCTGGTCTTACTGAAATTGTGTCGGAATTACTTGATACACCCATAGTTGAATTTGATCGAGATTTAACAGATCAAATTGATTCAAATGATAATGATAGGGGGGATGAAAAAATTGAAGAAGAAAAAAGTAAGTTGGAGAATGCAAATAATAATGAGGATATGAATAATAACCAAGATATGAATTGGGAAACTTTGGACGATTTATTCGATCCGGAAAATTGGGAGGATAATATGCCTCAAAGAAAGATTGATTTTTTAGTCGAGAAAGGGCCGATTAGAGTTACTAATGTCGTGCATCCAATTAAAGACAAAGGTAGATGATATAGCCATATTATGATATACCGGTCTAAGAATCCCTTACTCGACCGAACGACGACTCACATCGCCCCACACGTCGACACATTCCAGTCGACATAACTAAGTCGACTTTCGAAATGTCGATTCTTCACGTAATAATCGCGAGGAAAGGCGGAATCCATACAAGTCGACTCCTAGAAGTCGACTTCACACAGTCGACTCCCGAAAGCCGACTTCTATTTGAGAAGACCAACATGAGCGTAGCCTCCGAACATCCAGATAATCCTAAGTCGACCTCCCGGTACTCGAGGTCGACTCCTCGCACCTCGAGACGCGAAGCACACAGATGGATTCAATACACTTGTGATATCTCTTGGAGTCTCTTGTCCTCCAATGGATAAGAAAGAATCTTGTCATGACTCAGCAATGAGGGGAGACGAATCGACCAGGGCAAAGTAGACTTTTCAGGTAAACTGAGTAGGGCATTCTGGGTACTTCAAGTAAGTATTTTCTCCTATATAAAGGAAGTGAGCTAACCCTAAACCCTAACTTCATTCATTCACACTCTCCTCTATAATTGTTGCTGCTCTCTCAGAGCAGTTTCTCTTCATCTCTTTCACATACTGACTTGAGCGTCGGAGGCTCTACGCCGGAAACACTTCCGGCGTTGAGTTCTTGCATGTGTTTTTGCGATCTAGCAACGGTTCGAAGGCGATTCAAGCAGATTTGAGCTCATTACCACCGATTCACTCTAGATCTGAGAGTAGACCCATCATTTTGGCGCTGTCTGTGGGGAGTTCTTGAAGGAATTAAGAGCTTTGCACCTAGCTCAGATCTGTCTCTGATGGCTGAGAAGGAAGGTTTGCAGAGAAACACGAATGAGGAGTTTAGGGGAGCTTTGATAGACAGAAGACCACCACCAGTCTCTACCCCTAGACCCCCAGTTATGCAGATGCTGGGACTACCACTGTTTAGAGGACTCCCGCCGACGGGGATGAATCTGGGTGGAGAAACACCCATTACTCCACCCGGAGTGAAGATGCAAGTGTTGACCCAAGGAGGAACAAGTCAAACATTAAACCCTAATCAGGTATTAGAGAGAAGGAGCCAACGGAGAGGTCTCGACGTGAGGGGAAGCAAATCCATGAGGTGCCGGAGCAGACACAAATGCAACCCCACGTCGAGGAGCAAACACTGACGATGACAAGGAGCGAGATGCAAAAGATGATTGCTGAAGTTGTAGCTGCCAGATGAAACAAGTGACGCGAGTTGAGCAGAACCCACGGGTCGAGCAACAACATCGTGTTGAACAGCAAGCTCAATCGAACGAGCAACAAAATAGAATGGTGGACGAGGAGGCGTCTTCCATTCGAACTATCAACCCGCAGGCGAGAGATGAGACGTTAGAGCAATTGACGGCCCAAGTCCGCGACTTGCAGGCTCTAGTCGGGGGAAAGAAGAGCAGGGGAGCGAAGGAACATCCATTCTCACAACAAATCCTGAGGGCCGACTTACCCTAAGGCTTCAGGGAGTTGGAACATGTGGTATGATGGCTCCACTGACCCGTCTTGACATTTGAGAAGTTTTGAGAACATGGCGGTGCTCTACCGCTATAATGATCATGTGCAATGCCGTACTTTCTTGACGACTCTGAAGGGGTTGGCTCAGGACTGGTTCCACCAATTACCAGTCGGGCCGATTCAGGACTTTGATGTTTTCAGCTCGAGCTTCCTCAATCAGTTTGTAAGTGTTAGGGTGCAGGAGAAATTCTATCTCTCACTGATCAGCATGCAACAGAAGACGGGAGAGTCGTTGCGGGATTATGTTGCAAGGTTCACAAGAGCGTGTGTCGAGTGCCCGAAAGCGATAGAAGAAATCAAATCAGGAGGGTTGAGAAGGGGGCTGCTACCGGGACTATGCAAAAAATCTTTGGTAAAACGACCCGGTAGGAGCTTTGATGACGTTTTGGGGAGATGCGCTAAGTACATGAATGTCGAGGAAGCAGAAGTCGACTACCTACAAAGCATAAAGGTGTCCCAGACAGAAAGTCGAGACGATAAGAAGGAGAAGAAGGTGCACTCGACGGGGGAAAAGAGAGGATCCCCACGAGCGGACAGGGGTGAAGGAAGATCTAGAGGATGGAGGATAATTCAATACACACCCCTGTCGGCTCCTCATGCGAGAATACTAGAGGTAATGGAAAGGGAAATCCGCGATGACGTTGTGAGATGGCCAAGGACGAGGAAGGATGGACCGGTGAAGCCCAAAAGTAATTTGTACTGTCAATTCCACAAAGACTATGGACACAAAACCGACGATTACAGACACCTCAAAGACGAGATCGAGAGGTTGATCAAAGACGGCAATCTGAAGGAGTTCATATATAAGGATCGCGAAAGGTCGAGCAGAAGGAGAGAAAGAAGTAAAAGCCATCGCAAGAGGCGAGATCACCAGAAAAGGAGGAACTCCCCCCGAAAAGGGGAGTAATTCATATGATATTTGGAGGCTCGACCGATGGAGATTCGAATCGAGCAAGGAAGGCTTACGCTCGAGGTCGATATGCAAAAGTCGAGGTGCATCAAGTCGAGGAGAACGGGTCAGTGATGAACTTTAGGCCTACTGACGTGGGAGAGGTCGAGAGACCACACAACGATGCCTTGATGGTAACGGCGCAAGTATCAGGGTATGAGGTGCAGAGGATATTTGTCGATACAGGAAGTTCGGTGAACGTAATCTTTTATGAATGCTTCAAAAGGATGGAACTCGACATCGAGCTCACACCCCTACATACATCTCTCTTTGGATTCAGTGGCTCGGAGGTCGCACCCCTGGGAGAAACCATGCTCGCTGTCGTCCTAAGGAAAGACGACTTGAGAAAGGTGAATATGGTGAGATTTGTGGTGGTCGACGTCGAGTCGGCTTACAATGTAATTCTTGGGAGGCCAGCACTTAATGCCTTCCAAGCAGTAGTGTCGACTTACCACATGAAGCTGAAATTTCCTGTCGGAGACCGGGTAGGAGAAGCTCGAGGAGATCAAAAGCTGTCAAGAACCTGTTATCAAATTGCGGTGAAAACCAATCAACGAGCTGGAATCAAGGAAGGGAAGAAACCTATGTCGAG